AGTACATTTTCACCAAAGACCAAGAATTTTTGGTAAAATATCAGACTATTAGCAACCTATAACTCCTGGCCAATCTTTTCTTTTGACCTAATATAATTCCAAGCTAAATTCAGTGATTAAGTCATATAGCTTTCTAAACTTCTGTTCTTAGTAAGATGACTTTATAGGATTTGGTAGGACATACTAGTTAAAACTAAAATTTCTAGAATAGGTTTTTTTAGTCCCAGATCTTATCTCTGTCACTTATACATGTGTGACCAATATAATTGTGTACCTCAGTTGCCCCTCTGTAAATGGCTTAGTAATAATAATATGTACCACAAAGCCAATTTTGAGAATTGAATCAGTTTATACACATACATACCAAACAAAATAGTATCTGGCTGATAGTGGGTACTACAATAAGGCTTGCTCTTGTTATTACTTTATTCATCCCATAAGTGTTTTCCTCAATAGAGGCTTTGATGAAAAGTTAATAAATTGAATAAGAGAATTCCGATATGGTTAAACCCTTATATAGGGGCCTTGTGTAATTGAAGCTGAAGAGGAGAGAAATCTTGCCTCAAGTATGTGCATCTAACAATAAAGTTGCATTCTGATTCTACTGAAAAGAAAGTCCCACCAAGTTCCCCTAAACATGTCACACAATCAGGGAGAGATAAAATGACTGGTGGTCATCCAGGAGGATCTGAGTTGAAGCTCATTAATTTCTTTACCATAACCAAAATATTTTCTGATTATAGAGCTTGGAAGTTGTAGCACTGAACAGTAGGTAATGGATCAAGCAGAAACTTTTTATTATGGCAAGAGTAAATGGCAATATGCATTGTGCCATCCCAGATATCACTGTAGAACAGATAAAGGTTCTATGTCAAAATCATAGCATGCCAATGGGCATTGATGTGCCATAGGAGGAGAAGGGGGTATGGTAACATCTTTATTGCAATTGTACTTTAATCTAGACAATAAAACAGTCATTGAATTTTGTTAGATTTACCTGAAAGGGACAGGAATAAATGTTTTTTCATCTAGTGGTAATAAGAAGCAAGATAGAATTTGGGATAACAGAGGAAAATAAACTATATTTGTACAGTTTTAAGTTATGTCTTGTAAAACTTTCACCTGAATTACATATGTCTAACAAAATAGTTTTATCTCTGAAGAAATACTGGAAAATATTACTGTGCTTGGTACGTTTATGTAAGCCTTGCCCCTTAAGTGCTTCTATTTCCCCAAATCCATACACAATGACTTCCTCAATCGCAACTGGTTGATAAATTTGACAGTACTAATATATCATCATTTTGAATCATCTGTGGTGTGCATAGTTTCTAAAATTTCGCAGAATTTCTTCATGAAATTTAAGTTTGAGTTCTCAAAATAGAAGGCTTATAAAATCAAGTAAAAAATCTGTCATACCAAGTACATACTTTGGGAAAACTTTGACATGCAGTAGAGGAATCTTGGGTATGAAAGCTTCACGATGCCTAATGAAATAAGAAATTTATGAGAGCTTTGCTATTGGTGGCATTCATGTGGTTAATGCAAAATAATTTGTAATGACAGCAACATTGCCTATGATTTGCTGCACCTACTCCTGCACAAGTATAAAAGACCTGGTGAAGACGAGGATGTTCAAACTCAGAAGACTGTCTTCCTCTTTTATACCTGGACCGTACATTCCTGACACAATGATCTACTGTGGCAACTACTATGGTGGCTGTGGCTATGGTGGGCTTGGCTGCGGCTATGGCTGGGGTTATCCTGGCTACAGATATAGCTTCTTCTGTCCATCTTGCTATGGAAGATACTGGTCATATGGATTCTACTAAAAACTTCTAGAGTCCCTTGGATTTGTTTCCCCTTGAAACCTGGATTTTTATGCTGACCTTGTTCACCTGATCCTGTTTCTTCAAAATTGCAAAATTCTAAACCTGGCTATTATGAAAGAACAATAGATGTCATCGTCTCCCTGGTTCTGTTGTGCAAGATGAAAAAGAATGACTTTTAAAATGCAGTGAATTTTCCCTTTGATTTCTAAGTACGTTCAATAAATTTACTGTTTGCAAACATGATATGTTTTCATGTTTATTATGAATATGTTCTCTGTGAATTTTGCATGTGGATGATTGTGAAATGGAAACCTACATGTGATTACTGTCCCAAAAGGGTGACATTATTTCCTCCATTCTTTTTTCTATTTTGTTCCCCTGTGTATTTCTCATAATATTTATAGCTGAGACTCCATGAGGACATAGTTACTTGCTTATTCCTAATATAATTTTGCCTTCTCCTTTTTAATAGACAAGCAAGAGATTTGAAAACACACCTTAATCTGGTAATACATGTGACTGACTGTCTGCCCTAGTTTCCTCAGAGCACAGAGAAGCACATACACGAATTTTAAGTAATGGTTCTCTGAGTTTTCCAAGTTGTCTACTTTCTGATAGTTTCACACACATACAAAAAAAAAATCCTTTTGGTTGCCTGCTATTGTTGATATGAATCCTGTACCAGCCTGCAACTGGATACAGGGAGTGCTGTGCCATCTCTGAGAGGGGGGTTGTCTTTTTAGTAAGTTTTTTTCTGATAGACCATTTTGATTATGGAGTCCATTACATACCTTTATTCATTCATTCAATACATGTCTTCTAAGTAGTATTCCAGGCATACTGCTGTATGAGGACAGTGCATTTGTACATGGACATTTGAGATTGTTTCTGTTGTGATATTACTAAATGTGACGTGGGTGTACTACCTATAAAACTCTGGTGTTTGTGTGATGTTTAAACCTAATAACAGAATATTCAAACTGGATTTTAAATATTTTTCCAAATGTAAGAGGTTTAGTGTGTTGTGAAAAATTTGTATAAAAACAAAATCACTCAATTAATCTGTAAAAATAAACTGATTACAGCAAGGAAAATGTATATTTATTATCCCAATTAAAAAAACAAGTTACACATCTAGATATGGGATTAAAAGGTCATATCATGATTTGGTGAATGTAGCAAACAATATATCTCTCAAAGAATTAAAATAAACTGAATTCAGAACCAGAATTCCAAATCTATATCTTGCAAGTTCTCAAACCAAAATTTTCTAAAATATTAAAGCATACATATCATGATACATGTACTGTTACTAATCATTTTAATATGTTTTATGTTTAATGGCTATTATTAGTTGATACATGTGCAAAATACATAAATAAATTGTTAAACTACAATATTGGTGGTACTGGCTCAAAATATTTGCAGTATTGGTTTTCTTATTGAAAACTTTGGAAGATCAGTATTCTAGAACAAGATTTCTAAAAGTGTGGTATGAGGACAACTGTGAAGGGGATCATTTCAAAACTTCTAGAAGGCCAAAATTATTTTCACATTTCTCTTTTTTCTCCCATATGTTCATATGTTCATGAATGCACAGTGAAATTTTTCCATATATGTATATATAAATACACATACATACATACATATTATCAACTCAGATATGAGATGTTATCTTCCATCAAGCCAGACATTAAAGAGATTGACTAAAATATAAAACATTCCAGGATCCCTGATAATCTTTATGTTTAAAAATTCTTATTTGTTTCTAAAAATATCATGTTTATGTTAAGGGGCAATGGATTTATGATTATTATTGTGAAGTGAATTAGCTCATATATTAAATATCATTTTTCACTTTCAAAACAGTTAACTCTCAATAAATATAACACATAAATAATGACGTTTTAAGTTCTCAGAAATATTTTTTATGGTCCAAGACTTTGAGAATCACTATCTCAAACAAACTAATCCTCTCCACCACGTGACCTCTTGGTCACTCCCAAGAGGAAGCATGCCTGAAATATTTTGGGTTAAGTCTGAAAAATGGGGGTTATTTATTTAAGAAATAACACTATGCTCTTTGGCTATCTGTGTGTTGGTTTTAAAAAGCATAGTTCAAATGAAAGAGGCATATTCTAACAAAATGATTTTTAAAATGTGACTAAGTCATCAGTATCTCAAATACAAAAACTCATTTGATTACTCCCACTTCAAACTCACTTCCCACTGGCAATTAATCACTGTAGAATAAATGGCATTCTATTCAAAGAGAATAATATAGCCCTTTTCTTATCTTTACTGCCGTTGTTCAGGGGGATGTATTTAATTTTTAAAGGAAAAAACTATCTAAAATTTGGTTCCTAGTAGAATTTTCTCATTTTTTTTTTCTATATTGTTGTATTGGTTTGAAGTATTATTTATTTAAAGTATCAGAAATAATATACCTAGTAAGAGTTTGTTTCTGTCTCGTGTAAACAAAGTCTGGACTTAAGTCATTTGTATCCTGTTGTAGTCCCCAGTAACCCAGCTCATTTTAGATCATTACTTCATCATTCTCAAAATGTGATCATCACCTTCACAGCCAAAGATGGCAGCATTCAGGTCCAAGGCAAGAGAATCAAGGAATGTCCAAAGACAGTGGTGAAACTACATACAAATTGAATGTTAAGGATGCTTCCAGAAAGTTTTGATATAATACCTCAGATTATATCCATTGATAAGAACTTCATCACTTGACTATATCTTGTTCCAACAAAGTCCAGCAAATTTGGACTTCTTTTCAGTTGACAACGCTCAGGAAAAAAAAAAAAAACTATTATACTGAAAGGAAGAGAAAAGAGCAACAACAAAGTGATTACTTAAATTACTCTGTTCATTACAGACAGAATGCATCAAGTTCGGCAAACAATACTGGTACCAGCACAGTACTAAAACGATCATTTCAGATAGGTCACATTAAAACCTTGTGATAAGTAGAATTTATTTTAATTCTTTTAGAACATGATATAATTATGCATTATAAAATTGTTTATATTCAATATACATGTTTTTTTAAATGCTATGTTCATATGTATGTATTTTCATGTAATAATTACTATGTATTAGTGTGATTTGATTAAAACAATTAGAGAGATACTAATCATCAATTTGTTTTGCATAACATCTATTGATTCAAAGAAGGGGCCTGAAGAATGACTCCTCTGTTTATAACAAACCCAACCGGAATCTGGGGTCATTGTGATGGGGGGCACAAAACTTATGGTCTCCCCATGCACGAACTCCCTCCATGTGAAGAAGAAAAACTAAGCAATGTATGTGATGGATGTAGGGGTGATCACGGTATAATTCCTTCAACTGTATTGTATGTTTGAAAAATTGCCTAAAATAATTAGAAAATTAGAAAAATTACCACAGCTATTAATCTTATTACATAAACAACTAAAAGGTGAAGCAGAGAGTCCTCTAGCTCACACATAGTACCTGCATGTGGGGAATTCTCACTTGTTTGTACCAAGTTCTCTCTATTTACCTGGTGACTGCATGTGGAATCACCACCCTGTCCATATCATACTTTTCTCTGCCATTATCCCAAGAACACTTTCTTGTAATAGCTCACAGACAACGTTATCATCAAGTCAAAAAATATAGAAACCCAAGAGGTAAGATGTGCAAGCAGTTGTCATGCCAAGACTTGGCTTTCTAAGTCAATGCTTATGGTGAGCTTATATAGAAACAATCAGTTATGCCAATAAATAAATAAAATTCTCAAGATAAAAATGTGGATTTATATTAGCCTTTTAATGTAAATGTAGTCAGCTCACTACCAATAATCAGTAGAAAATATTATTTGGGTTGAAGAGTTGTTTGCCCAAAGGAGAGGAATTATGTAAGTTAAAAGACATGTAGTCAGATAACTTTCCATTTTTATTGCTTCCTCACTGAAATAGATATACTCCCAGTTCCTCCTCTGCAGCTGTGATTAGTCAGTGGACGTCATTATTATTTTAAAAAAAGGAAATTGGTTTGAAGAATGGTAACATTCCAAGGAAACTAATTATAGATTTTAGTAATAAAATACAAAGAGAGAAGATCTCTAACATATAAGAAGCATCTCTAATTAAGGACATGTAACATAATTATTGAGTTTCAGACAAAATAGTTATATTTTCTATTAGGACATCTCTACTTATTGAAATGAATGTTTTATAAAATTTTATTATGTATATTTCTATGAAATATGAAGCCACACTGCCTCATACACCACATAAGATACATAAAACCTTATTTGCAGATGGTAACATTCAAATTGAGGAAAATAATCCTCTGACCTACAACTAAAATTGAGATAGGGAACTAGCAAGCCCTGCTTGATAAAGAGTCTGAACCAAAGTCTCTGATAACTAGGAGGTGATGGAAAAGCTCGCCAAAGTCAGCTTGAACTAAGATTCCCAGGAAAAACAACGTCAGGATGCCCTCTCTGCTCTTATACCCTGTTTACACTGTATTAGCTACTAAAAGAAAATCCCACCAGTGCCCTGACTGTTTAAAACGCTAAAGCGAACGACTCCCAGAAGTTAACTTCTATGGTTCAAAAGAAGAGGCACCCTCAGTTCCAGGCATTCCCCAACCCTTTCTCAGAAATCTTGTGAACAATTAACCCTCCACTTAGCATGAAATTGCATATGAAGTCTAAATTAAAACTTCAGCGGCTCCCAAGTGTATTCTCTGTTGTTCTGAGATAGCTGTTACCCTGGAGAAGGAGCAAGGTTCCTTATCTTTTTTTGTTACTTCAATAGACTTTTTTTTTTTTAGCCTCATTTTGTTCTCTGGCTCTTAAATTCCTTCCTGCACAAAGTCAAGAACCCACTAGGCCTTCAGGCTGGACCCCAGTGTCGGGGTCTACTTTCTCCTATCAAAATGTCTATTCGCTGATACCATTGCTATTATTAATGGAGCCGTCTTCTGGTGGCTTGGTCTGGGCCTGCAGCTGGGGCTGTGGGTGTGGTAGGTATGGACATGGCCACTGCCCTTCTTGCTGGGGCGGACACAGCCACTGTGGATTATACCTAGGAACGTCCAGAACAGCCCAGTTGACTAGACTCCTTCACCTTGATTGCCTGGTTCTGGTTCTGAGATTTTTTTTTTATTAAATTATAAAGAGGTACATGATGTATACATTAATGCATTTATGGAGTACAATGTGCTGATTTCATATATAATTTAGATGTTTACATCATACTAGTTAATATATTCCTCACCTCATTACTTAGTTATTGTGTTAGTTCTAAGATTATTCACATGAGTAATTATATTCTCTATGCAAACTCTCATAAACTCATTCAGGTTAACCTGAAAAACTCAGGAAATGTGGTAGCCTTCTCAGTTCGTGAAAATACCCCCAAATATGTCAAAAATAATAGATGAATTTTGTCTTTGATATTCTTTTCTATGTTCAATCCATATCTTTCATATAGGAAAATATCAAGTTCAAAATTAATGAACTGGTTTTTCTTTTATCACATTCAGTATTGTTACCTTTTATTTACACCGATTTGTAGGAGCTGTATAAAACGCCTTTAGGGCACATCTTTTGAGTCTATTTTGAGATGATTGTCTTCCAGAGAAGATAAGGCTAACATCATCAGTCCTTTGTGACCATATGTGTATAAAAATTATTTTCATATGTACCTCTAGAAGCACTATTATTCATAAATAAGCAAGTTAAATGCCATTTTACACAATCAGAGTCTCATTTTCTGTTAGCAAATGATAGTGCTGCTTTGCTAACCCCATGTTTAGGTAGTTAGCAGTCAGATCTGTGCCTTCAGGTGGGTATATAGGGTTTATTCTGCCTCTCACCCTTCTTGCTGTTTCTCTCAATTCAACAGCAAAGGAAAATAACACATATCCCAGATACGGTACCTGCGTTCTTGGAGAGTCTGTTCTCATTTTACTGAAGAGGTCCACCAAGAGAAACCACCCAGTTCTCCTCTTGGAAAAGGACTTTTCAGCAGCTACATCATTGCTTTTCACTTAGATTACGGAAACTGATCTTGTTCTTCCACCTTGTAATTTGCAGGAAAAAATATTACTTTTCTTGATTGTGTTAGATTTCCTCTCCAAATCAATATACTACATAGTGAGAACAAAAAAATCTCCATTCCTGAACTTCCGGTAAGGCTCAATGTTTCTGAACATCCCATACACGGTTCAGATGATACTCTCAGATATCAACACGTATGACCTGAAGCACTCCAGATATTTCAAAAAATATTTCTATTAGAGAAACTTTCAATGCTATAATGCAGGAAATGTGTTTACTTCACATTTTAGGAAGTTCTATTTTATTAGCTCAGCAACTGATTCAAAATACTGTTCTCCAGCTTCTCCTCCCACACAGTGGATTTTCTCAGAAGCCCTGCCCTAAACGGCACATCCCCAAGTGATGAATAGTAAACGTATCATTGCACACAATGCCATTGATAGGGGATCATAGCCTTGCAGTTCGAAGAGTTGCTCCTTAAATATTTTTGAATAAGTGAATTAATGAAAATGAATGATGTTGAAAATTTCTTGTCTCCCTGGAATTTCATAGTCTACTTAGATTATGGAAACTGATCTGGTTCCATAAAAAATATGAGAAAGTAGGAATATCAACTATCTCCAGAGTCTCCGGGTACAAAATCATGTTATTTTGCCCTCATGGCTGGTTGTCTCTTTAAGTGCTCTCTGGGGAGTACTCGGAATGGAGCACTGCAAGCCAGCCTCTTTGTCTTCTTCCATCAAGTTTACAGCCTATGTAAGTGAAAACTACTTCTAATACTCCATTTCAGTGTTCATCTTAAAATCTAACTTTATTCATAGCCTCTTCTAGAAGAGGATTTAAGCTCTTTCCTCAATGACAAGTGTTCTGTCCTACACTAGCTTCCTCCTTTGCTGTTGGAGCCTAATGCAAAATTCACATATATAATTATGTATCCCTCGCGTCCATCTCAGCTCCCTTGTGTTTCTCCCTCAGGGTCGATCAGAACTTGGTGCACATTTTCTAGTCCCTGGGGAGCACGGCCACTACCTGAAGAACCGCAAAGATCATCACAATCCCAGAAGCTAGAAATACAAGTCAAAACACTTCTGCCCACTACATCCTCGTATTAGAGTTGCTAAGGGAAACGCAACACAATTGAGCACTGGATGGAGCGATGCCTTTCCTCACCTCAAGAAGAAACACCAAGATGAGCTCCAAGAGTGTGTATAGCTAGTGTGTGCCCAGGCTGCTGACACAGGGCAGGTGGACCATGCCCATCCTCGGAAGAGAAAACACCCTCTCCCTCATAGAGACTGAGATTATTGAAGGCTTAGACTGTGCCTTGACTAAGAACTATTTGCTTACAGGCTTAGACAGAACAAAGGGGTATACACAGCCTGAAACAGGGAAAGATACCCCCATGTGAGATGATACACTTAAGTCCAGCATCGGCAATGTAGAGTCTTTATCTCCTGTAAGGAAATGTTCCAGGCCCAAGACCCATTCTTGTGGGGTAGAGGGGGTGGTCAAAGACTGCACTCATGAGATGGTCAGTCCCAATACTTCCAGTCCCCAGAACAAATGTCAACACTAAGGAACCAAGTGAGAGAATGGATGGAGGGTTTTCCAGACCTCTACTAGTACTGTTGAAAAAGGAATCCCAGGTAGGTTCAAATAAATTTGGCACAATAACACAAAAAATACCTATTTTTTAGGGAAAGATCAACCTTTTAATACCCAATAAAGAAAAATATACATGGTCATAACTTATCCTAGAAAAAAAATGCCACATACCTCATTGCTGAATATCATTACAGTAACCTTCAAAGAACTTTCCTTGGGAAGCCATGCACCAGTGCCAGCACCTAGTCCACCCATCAAAGCAATTTTGGGACGCTTTGTCTGGAATGGCCATCAGAGCTGTCATCGTAAGATCTGACAGTAAAGTTTGCTAACTCATTCTAGAAAACGTGCTTTAAAGGATGGAGTACTCACTGGTGTCAGTGCATAGCTGCCCAAGGGGTGTACTTTGAAGGTGAATAGTGATACTTGCCAATGAGAAATGCAGTACTTTTTCTAGGATGAGTTCATAAACTTGTCTTTCCTCATATGTCAATATTTCATTTTATAACAAAATTCTAAATTTTCTCAGACATAATTTGAAAAGTAAATTAGAGATGTAAATATAGGTGTCACTATATAATAGCATATGATGGCATTTTAATGTACAATTAAGAAGTATTGATAAGATGTATTTTCTTTGGG